CACAGGCTTGCTCAATGACTTTTGTGATTTTACTCCTTAGTTTAAACTACCGTCTTTGACTGGGTCCACCAGGTTTGGAAAGACACGTCTCTACTCCACGCTCCTATGACTCTGGGACAAACTCACATCCCTTTGCATGCCCCTGCCCACCTCTTTGGCCTCACTGATCTGGCACCACTCCCCACAGCTCCCGCCTTTCATTCGTGTAGGCCTCTTCTGGTTCATGGGACACAAGACCTTCACCACCTGCCCTCCTAACTCGTTCCTTGCCACCCCCAGATCTCCATGTTTATGTTTGCTCTCTCTGGAATGCACACTCTGAAAGGGCAGAGATCACTTCCAGAATAATCACCATTGTATCTCAGAAAGGCAAACACAACATCTGGAAGCAAGTAGCTTTTTGATAAATATTTGTTAAATGGATGAATCAAGGAGTAAGGAAGGTTGGTTGCATGGAATGCACTGGAGTTGGGCTGGATTTATGGAAGAGTACTGACAGAAGACAAGACGAGGATCAATTCACAGTGTGAGGACAACTGCAGGAATGTGTGGAAATAAATCTGGGACCGCAATTTCAGATGTAAGGAATAACATTTACATTTATATTTATAAATATAAATCAACCTAGCTCCAATTTTAAGGATTCCACTCTCCCAGGTTGGTGGAAAACTTAACCTCAGTTACTCCGGAGTTTCCCTTTTCTGCTTCAAGAGGGGCTAGGACTCGAGGGTTTTACGTAGTGCCAAGGCAAGGGCCTTTGGCCGGAGAGCCCTCTGCCCACCCTGGCTATTACTGGGATAGTCACTGACTATTCATGTAGTTCCTTCAGCTCTGGGTTCCCTGATGTCTCCAGACTTCTTTTAAAGCCTGAGAACCCTTCCTGAGGGATGCTACGGGCCTACCTGCTTAGACACAAGACAGTCACTCCCTAAGGCTGTGCTTCGTAGTGCTGCCAGACGTGTAGGCGCTTGCTTCCTCAAGCTCGGGACCCACAGACTTTTCTCCGTGTACTCCAGTTCATGGGACTCCACTTTCACCGTGCTGCTTCTCAAAGCACTCGTATGCCTCTGTTGTTTTTAGGGCACCTAGAATAACCTTTTGAAATAGATTCAGGTTTACCCAAGTCAGCAGCATGTATGTATGACAGCCGCTCCACCTCGATCCTTGCTATTCCAGTTACTTGACTATCTTTCTGACAAATTCAGCAACAGGAAAAAAGAGGATGAGGGAATATAATTTAGCATTTCATAAACTTACTCTGCTAACAGGAATGAAGTTTTGACCAGGACAGAGGCAGAGAGTGCAATTATGGACGCTTCACTCTTCTGCTTAGCAAATTAACATAGCTCGGGGTACAGTTTGAACTTGGGGTACAGTTTAACTTCCTAGTATGCCACAGAGACCTCGTCCGTCTTTCCAGCCACTCCACACATCACCGGCCCTCTTCTTTCCAACGAGGACACACGGGTATCTCGCTGTCGGAAAGAACGCGCTCTTCTTCAGCACGGGTTTTTGTGCACTCCGGCCCTTCACCGGGCTCACGCACATGCGTGCTTCCGACTCATCTCTGCTGGCAGTTTTGCCCCGATACAGACATTCAGACTCTGTGCCTTCTGTGCAGTGTTACACGTGGTGGTCACCTTGCCACGTAAGAAGAGACAGGCCAGGGCTGAGTACGATGAAATTCCATTTTTACTGAGATCATGAAATCCCCGAAGTTCGACAACACGCCGCTGAGCAAATGGGTGTTCTAGTGCTCTGCGAGCGGGATTAAGAAACTCGCACCAAGCACAGCCTCCACGGCAGCATCTGGTCAAGTTTTTGACCCAGACAATGTACTTCTGGAAACTGGTCCAAGAGATATATTTGCACACTGTAAAATTACATGTTTATGACTTTACTCACTATAGCATTTTTTTCTAATGGAAAAATACTGGAAAGTTAAATGTTGCTCAGTGGAGCTACTTTTTTTTTTTCTTTTTTATGCCCTTTAGAGCCCCTCTCCTTGCCCCTCCTTCCACCTCTTGGTCACCTTCCCCTTTGCAAAAGTTCTGTCTCCTCGTGTCCTATCATCGATCTTTCATTTTGCTCTTTAATTTATTTATACTTTGGGTTCCTCATGTAAGAAAAACCATGCAGTATTTAAGCTTGTGGGTCTGATTTATTTCACTTAACATTCTGGCTTTTCGGTGTACCCATTTCCCTTAAAAAATGAATCAAATTTATTTTCTTCATGGCAGGGTAGTACTTCTTTGTACATTTTATTTCTTTCATTTTGCTCTTTACCTACTTATACTTTGGTTTTCTCTTGTGAGAGAAAGCATACAGTATTTAAATTTATGTGTTTGATTTATTTCACTTAGCAAATACAGTGACATGCAGAACAATTCACATGGCATACTACATTTTGTATAAGAAGGAGTTAAATAAAAAACCACAAATACGTATGTCCTCCATTTATATGTATAAGCGTAAAGAAACTAAAGTTTCTTGTAATATGTACAAGAAACTAATAACAATGATTGTTTATATTTGAGAAAGGATAGAAACTGGTATGGTGGGAAACACAGCAGGCTACAAAGAAATAAAAATATTTAATGATGTTCCTTTCTATTGGTTATATTACACATAATTATAAATGAGGCAAAGTTTTAATTATTGAAACAAATTCATTAAATAGGTTATGGTTTATAATTTATCTCTTCATGAAATAAAGGATACGATGGAAATTATTTAAGCAAAATCAGGTGGTAAATTAATACTTTAACTGTCAGTTTTCATGATATTCACTGAAATAAATTCTGTATTCTATATGGAGCAAATCAAACTGGACAAATATCAGGCTTTGCTTCTTGTTGAAGAATTGCAGGTGCTTTTACTTTGAAAAGACACTTTAAAAAGCCAATTTTTAGGAATAGATGCAAGAATCCTTTGTTTTACGTATTTAAACTGTCAAGACAGAGGTGTTTCCAATTAAGTTAACTCAATCTAGAAACAATAAAAGAAAGACAATTCTTCACAGTACTTCTGTGTCTAGTCAATTGAAAGATATAATAAATAAAAATAGGAGCAATAAATGATTGTCAATGTATAATTTTTTAAAATGAGGGTTACCCCATTTGAGGTAACTAAAGCTTTTAGACCTTGGAAAATTCCTCTAAAAGTGTAACGAGGGCTCAGGTCACTGCAGGTGATCTTCTTCATTCCAGCTGTGGCACTAGTGAAGCAGATTGTAGGTCCATTTGGAATTAATTATTCTCCAATAAGGAAACTGATAAAGCATTTAAACTACTTATAGAGTTGCTTTGAGACTAATGCATTCACTAATGTTACTTGGATCCTATTTCCAAGTCGAATATAACAGCATCTGATACACTCCAAAGTGCTTAGATCACAACTGTATTCTGTCCCAGTTTTACGGGTAATTCCATATAGCAGATATTGGGGAGGCACTAACTACTCTTTTGTAGCAAACTATTCATTTTTTTAAATGCAATTCCTAAGCATTTCATTAACAAATATTCACTTCTAATCTGTTGATTTCTTTGTTCAAAATCCAGTGTCAGTGAGGAAGAGTTGGATTTAGTAACTCTTGAACATATAGGTATATTGTGAACCAACTGTTAATATCTTTGCTTTCTGTAGAAGGAATATCCAAGCTCGGGAATTTGGGCCTTGTTCATTATCGCTGCCTCCAAACTAGTGAGGTATGGTGCAGAACATAATAGTGTCATGTTTTCTTTCCTCCTCCTAGAGCAATGATAGAATATTTTGAGGCATCTTGTTTTTCAGTCAGTTGCTTCCACAGTTACGAAGAGCCCATTGGCATCTGCTTTAAAAGCTTCACACTTTCAGTATTTCATAAATAAAAAATGAGTGGGTATATTAAAATATTCTGTGCCCTTGACTCAGTTCCTTAAACATTAGAGATAAAAGGGAATCACAAAGTATAATCCAATTGACTGGCCTTAATTTCCTTTTTCTATTTGGTGTAGATGCGCCACCTGGTGGCAAAGTAGTGTATTTTAAGTGCAGAATGTGAGTGTGAGTGTGAGTGTGTGTGTGTGTGCACGCGCGTATGCGTGTGTTTGGAGGCGTACAACATGGGACAGAAGATTTTAATATGTATTCCTAAATACTTATTTATATTGATGATACATATTTCTATACTGACTAATAGAACATTTGAACACTGCCATATAAATGCTAGTACAGGAAGTAGAGAATAACTTATTGTGGAAAATAAAACAGCTTCATCTTATTGATGTTAGCTATAGATCTTACCATTCCACCCCTAAGTTAATATTTATTTATTGTGCTATAGTTCTTACGGAGGCAAAAGCCAGGCACTGGTAAGCAAGGTAAAACTTTTTTTTTATTTTTAATTTTTAAGAATAATAATGTCTAAAATGATGTGTGCTCTTCCTTATATCAGCCTTTCGCATAAGTCATGGGGCATAGAATTTTGAGATTTTAAAACACCACAGGCTAATTGAGACCAACACGTTAATTGTACCAATGTAGCAGCAGGTAGGAGTTCGGAGCGGCAGGGGATTTATCCAAGGTCGTACTGGCTGTCAGGAGCCAGACTCAAGAAACGAGGGTTTCTCATTTTCTGCCTGAGAACATCAAAGTTAACACTCACGCAATGGAGGATTGATTATCTCTGCGTGAGGACATATGGCCTTAACTCAGTAAGACAGTGCTTTAGGACCCCAACGTACGAGTTAATGCCTATTAACTTTGTTTTGATATTCTGAGCGCAGAGGAGTATGATAATGGAAGAAATACATGTATCATGAAGGTATGGAAAAGATTTTCTAACTAATAAACCTCATATATTTATATATATGTATATTTTCAAGGAGATGTTTTTGGAGTTCATACAACTGCTGTGTTGTAAAGAAAGTCTAAAAATTCCCTTTCCTCTTCTCACTGGTTCAGAATCAGGATTTGTTTCTACAAAGTAGAGACACCCTTGTGGATTTAAGCATAAACTATGTTTGGAGCTCCCTCTCATGACCATTGAATATTATACAAGCCTCCTTTTATTCTCGCTGTTGTATTCAACTAACAGCTCACTGGTTAAGTTTTAATTGCTTCCAATGAGGTCAGCAAAGGTATTTATCGAAAAGCCCTGAATAAAAGGCTCCACACACACACACACAAGCACACATGCGCTCACACACAGAAAGAAAATCCTCTTGCCTGTTGATTTATGGAAACAATTATGATTCTGCTGGAGAATTTCTCAGCTGAGAAATAGTTTGTAGCTACAGTAGAGAGGCTCAAGTTGCACAGGCAGACAACAGACATGGAATTCTTGTGTATCCAGCTGTTATAAACAGAACAAGTAAGTTACTGTTATTTGTCTTTAAAAGCGATGTTGAATGTTTTCTGAAGTTATCTCTCGCTCTGATAATGGTACTGAGGGGGAAAGTAGTTACCAGATTTTTGAGCCATGTAAATATCTATAGTAATTATGCTGTGGAACGTACATAAAGACAAGGGTGAAGTTTTCTAGTATAATTCTGACATTTAACTTGAAAAATGTGGGCTGTTCAGGAGAGAATAATTGCTTAACCACAAATGTAAGAGCATACCATGAAAAATCTAGGGAAAGCATTTGTACTTTGTTGGTAGTAATTGTAGAACTTGATTTAAATCAACAGCTCTAAGTATGGGATGTTTCTTACAGAGTAGCAACTGGAGCAAATGGTGTGGTCATGTTCTGATTTCTCTACCCTCATGTAAAACTTTTATAAATCTACATATAGAGTGGTAAAGATGTTGACATCCTCTGTGAAAGCTGCTTTGAGTGTGTCTTCAAAGTATAAACTGTATTTGTTACAATACTATTTGCCCATGAAATTTATACACACATTTTTTAATCTTCCTCTCTCCCTCCCTCCCCATTCTTAATCTCTCATTGCAAGCAGAAGTCAAGTAGCAAACAGTGCGGCAGCAACTGAGCTTATTACAACCTGCTTTTTATAAGGATGTATCAACACAGAGTTATTTAAGGAGGAATCCTGTATGTTTACCAGAAGCTAAAAGGTTAAGTGTACCCATCTGGAAAGAGCAAGGACTCTTTCTTAAGTCAACCTACAGTTCACAGACAGGAAAAGGTCACTGACCCAGGAGTAGCAGTCAACTCAAGATTGAGTTTTCATTATGGTATTCATGGACCCCTGGAGCACTACACTATAATGCACAAATGGATACTGACATGGATCCTGCCAACTTTGCTCTACAGATCATGCTTTCTCGTTGTCTGTCTAGTGGGCACTCTAGCGTTAGCTTGCAATGACATGGCCCCAGAGCAAATGGCTACCAATGCGAACTGCTCCAGCCCCGAGCGACACACACGAAGCTACGACTACATGGAAGGAGGGGACATAAGAGTGAGAAGACTTTTCTGTCGCACACAGTGGTATCTGAGGATTGACAAGCGAGGCAAAGTCAAAGGGACCCAAGAGATGAAGAATAACTACAGTAAGTATAGTCTTTTTTTTTCTTTAAAGCATTTAACAGTTTGTTAAAGGGTCAATTTTCAGGTGACATGCTTTCTCAGTTTCCTGTATTTATGGAAAAATCCTAACTGCAGTATCACCTTCTCATTTTTCTAAATTGAGATTGCTAAACTATGTTCCTAAAAGTTTCTCTTGGAACAGGGCAAAGCTACTAAGATTGTACTTCAAACTGAGACTGCCAGCCAACTGCAGAATGTACATTCCATGTCCTAAGCTCCAAATGCTCCTATGTAAAATGGAAATGACATTATTCACGCTGCATGTGATTTTTTTTTGCTCTAGGAAAACTCATGAGCAGCTCTTTTATAGTTCTCGGGAAAGCTCATCAAAACTACCAAGCACTAGTTTGAGGAAGAGGGAATTTATTTATTAGTTTAGTTTGCTTTGAAATAATATTTAAACAATGCGAAGGACATTCTGTGTTCAAAACCTGCATTCTTGTTCAACTGTGTATCATGACAAAACAGAAGTGAATCCAGGGTACACTCATCTGTTTGTGTCATAGCTTGTGTTAGATTGTTTATCTACCTACTGAGACAGAAAAACAGATTTTTTTCTAACATTTTCTTCATCTGAATCTTCTGTCGTATAAGATCTATATTGCTTTAAGAGAAATAAATGTGAAGAAATAAAAGAGAGTTGGAAGAGATGGTTAATTTCATGATTTTCAATTGAAAGCTTTGTATTTTCCCCCAGGAACTAGTTGTTCTTTTCATGTTAAAATATTAGGGCTTGAGTTTTTATTCAATGGTTATGATTAATAACCAACTTTAATAGTAGTATTAAGTTCAGTGGAGTTAAATATACACACCTCAACATTTACCTTGAGGCTTAAAAGTCCCTAACTGAAGACGAATTTTGTTTGCATTATTAGCACATGGGCAATGTCACTGTTACACATTTTATAATATGTGTCAAAGTCAATTGAAAAAGGACTCGTGGAGGGGGCGGGTGGACGTGTGCCCACCAGTGCCAGGCTGACGGTAATTACTTACACATTTGGTTTGCCTGTTTATTAAAGGGCCCTTAGGCTTCTAACTAAACAACCAATAAATGAGAATTTTGAGGAATTATGTTGCCAATATGAAAATGAGTGGAACTTCTCTTTAACCATAACTGATTCAGAAAGTTAAGGCCATTCCGATGTTATCCATTATGGCTTATTATTATTATTATTATTATTGCAATTAAATAGGGTATCATATTAGTGCAAGAAGATTTTTCTGGCTATCCTGAAGTTTAGCTAAGTAAACGACTATTTGGAGGAAGTTTTGTGAGTATCTACTACTACTACTATATGCAATAACATTTGGTTTATAATCAGTTTCTTTAAAAATTACTAAGATTTATCGCGGGTAATGAAATCTGGTAGAAAGGCCAGAGGCCAGGTAGAAATTGTACAATTTCTTAGTTTTCCAGTCTTCAATCTATAAAACATGGAATGTGTTCAATACGTCTTCTAGTTCTTACAGTGTATTCTATCCTGAACCACAGAATATATTACATAAATGTGAAGAGACCCAAGTGCCCACCTCCTAAGGACCCAGAGTGAATGAATGAGTGAGAGCAAATATTATCTCAATAAGATACTCAAGTTGCAGTTATAGGGTTAGAAAACCCAAACTGTAGAAGTCTTTCATGTGCTAACTGCTTTTGAATGCTTTTATCAAATAATAGAAAAGAAAGTAAAATTTAGTAAAAAGAATAATATGTGTGACTATTTGGTATGAAAAATATTTATAACTGGAACATATTCACATGTAAATTTTGTCTGTGCTAAAATTTCCTAAAACCATAAAACTCAGGCATTTTTGCACATGTGCAAAATGCTGAAATCATTTTATAGTTTGAAACACAATTTAGTGCTTACTTTCAGTAACCATGAGTTGCCATAAGTTCAGTAACCATAAATCAGAACCTTGAGTAACCTTCACACAATCTGATACATCATTTCTCCTCAAGTGCTAATTCTGCAGTAAAAACATGGAAGAAAACCATTCTCTATCATTGTAAGTTAGAACGTCACAATACCAATGTATGCAGAAGACATGGTATAATTATGTAAATAATCTTCATGCATAAGCTTTTTCATTATATATATATATATATATATATATATATATATATGATGTACCTTCTTGACATGTAAATTTTCCTAGATACAGAAAGCCTTTATCAGAATCCTTCAGGGTAAGCCCTAAAGTGTTGTCAAGTTGCTCCGCTATCCTATTGATAAAGGAGCTAGTTAAAAAAAAAAGAAAAGAAAAAGAAGCCAGTAAGGGTTTCCCAAAGTTAAAAAGTGGCTCAGGCCTTTTTTTGTCTACAGCAAATCCTAAGATACAGAAGGAAATGCTTCGATGAAGAATGCATTGTGGGTGATTAGAAGAAAATTCTGATAAGCCTTCTGATAAGCTCAGGAGCAAGAGCAGCCTCACTCATTTTAAGAATGAGTGTCTATACATAAACATGCAAATTAACCGGTGTTTCCTATTGTAAAATGCTAGTTAGGTCCATCGCTGTTCTCAGTTACCATGAGAAGTCCCAGTCCATCCTCACACCTTTCTTTGAACAAAAGGGAAAAAGATCTGAGGGTGTTAATGGGACTTCACCAGCAGAAGCACAGCTCTCACGTAGGAATGTGGATTTTGGGGGGCTGGGGTGGGCTGGGGCTTGGACCCAAGGCCTTGTGCATGCTATGGAATCACTCTACCATTGAGCCAAATTCTCAGCCCCTAAAAATGTGGTTTAAAGATATGGAAAATATGGATTGGCATTAGCAGAAGTGAAAGATCTGGGTGTACAGTTCCTGGAAAAGCCGAACTTGACACCTAGATCTTTCACCTCTCCTGCTAATGCCAGGTGCTGAGTTGGGAGAGGTGGCTGGGTGGCAGAGAGGGAGAATGGAGCAGGGTGGGGGGATGGATGGGGTCACTCAAGGCTTATCTTTAGGGAATTTGAAAAATTACACCAGCTACCCTGGAGAGTGAAGATCTCACTTGATTACAGTCTTGCAAAGACATTTTAAGGGTAGATTAAAATGAACAAGAAAGAGTGCTCTGAGGAACTCAGCAGGAATAAGACTTGCAGATATATAAGCAAGAACTAACTATGTAGATGGGGGAATTCATAAGAGGCGAAGGGAGGCCGGGCCATATTTCTGAGACCTGCAGGAAGAGAAGCTAGTCCCAGAGAACCGGTTCCAAGGGATTGCATAGAAGTTTTAGCTGGGTGGCGGAAAGCATCTCCTCCTTCCTTGTTCTTTCTGGGGGCTTCACATTTAGCTTTAAGTTAGGTTTCTAAGCAAACTGGAACCTAATCTTAGCTAACTATAAGTATACCATAAAGTGTCCCTCCAACATGGGCATTTGAAGGGAAATGCAGGAGTGTACTGGGAACCTCACACAAGGCACTGGGAATGGATGGGCAACACTGACTTCTGCTGTCAGGACTCTCCCCTTGGAGACAAGGCCAGAGGGTGAACTGAGATGACCATTGGATCAGGCAGCCTATGGGCGGGCAGACAGAGGCCGTCACTCCACACCTGACAAAAATAACACTGCCTCGAAGCTGGGCGCTGAGGTGCCGAGTGAGAGATGGCAGCGGTGTGCTGGGCACTGGGCGGCTGCCCTGGGAGACGGACGTGGAGGAGAGAGCCACTCCTTCCAGACAGTTGTCTCATGGTGGGGATCCAGTTACTAAAATGTGTTCTTCTCAACAGTAGTTAATATCACTCGTCTTTTTAAGAAGGTATCCTTAATGGTCACAAACCACTTACCCAAAGAAAGCATGTCTTTCTGGGGTGTCACTGAGGGTCGTTAATTCTGCAGGAAGAGAAGGGTGAGCCATTCTGAAAATTGGCCAAGGACTCGGCAGTCTTCTCTCTGCATTGCTAGACTGTGATGGGACATGGCCTAGCAATTGGCAAAAAGCAAATAAACACAGCATTGTTGGATTTGACTGAGGCTACAGACCTTCAGCCACTCAACTGTCAGCAACTCTTTGGACAGTCTCCGGCTCACTGATAACCTCTGCTAGGAGCTAGCAAACACACGCATCACCTCTGATGCAGAGAGGGTAAATTTGTTTATGTTCCCAACAGTTCTTAGCAAGTTGTTCAAAAGACCTCACATTATCAAAGTAAAAACAACAATACAGGGACAACTGCGGCCTCGAGTGAAAGGTAATGAGGAACGTAGCTTCTGTAGTTCTGTAGTTCTGTAGTTCTGGAGTTCTGTAGAACGTATGTATGAAACGAAGTCTTAGGCATCGCCGACAAGGTGGAATCTTATAAAGCTGGGGACCGGAATTCCCTTGAATAGCTTGTTAATGCTTTAAATTGCAGTGGATGAGCAAACTTCTGGGGAGCACCTTTAGAAATATTAGCTCTTCCTTGCAAACTCTGAAAGTAAGGATTGCTTTAAATTTTATGCTTGTTCTCCTGTTTTGGGGCTACGACAAGTTACCGGCACTTACTAAAAACTATTAACTTCCACAGGTGTGATTCTTTTCGTCTCTGTCTTTTGTACATCCTCATCTGAGCTGAGCATTTCTGTATCACTGTCCTGTTTCTATGTCATTGCAGAACTTCTGATCATGTGTATTCCTTCAGCCTGCAGTCTTAGAGCATTCAGTGGCCCAAGTGAGCCAAAGGCATTGCAAAGATGAAACAGCCTTTTCTAGACTTTTAAAATTTCTTAATCATGGTTAAATACTGTAATCAGCTGGGGACTTTTAAAAACTGTTATTGCCGAGCCCCACCCCCAAAGATTCTCTTTAAATTCATCTGGCGTGCAGTCTTGGCATCGGGAATTTTCGAAGCTCCCTGGATAATTCTGACATGCTGTCAAGGCTGGGAAGTGCTGGCCGAAGGGGATGGAATTAGATTACTGGGGGAACCACAGCTCAGTAAATTAGAACCTCCTAAAGTTGAGAGGACCCAGGAATCAGTATTCTTTAAAGTTC